TAAGAAATCTTCACTCGTCTTGCTTTTTTTCAATGAAAGGAAAGCCGTTGAGGACTGTGTGAGCCAAAGGCCACGGGCTAGATAAGCACTTAGCACACGTATACACACACTTTTCTCTTTCAGTCTTAAATTTTTTTCTTTTTCTTCTTTTAATGAGACAGGGTCTCTCTGCAAGACCATCCATGGCAGAGGTTGACTAGTTTTTCTCAGTTCCATGTAGTCTGCTCCCTTGGTTGACTCTGCCTGATTACAGTGTTTACTCATTTCTGAGGCTCAATACAGTTGTTTGGGGAACTCAATCTAACAGCACACATTTAATGAGCTAGTATCTATCTATCTATCTATCTATCTATCTATCTATCTATCTATCTATCTATCTGTCTGTCTGTCTGTCTGTCTGTCTGTCCGTCCGTCCGTCCGTCCGTCCGTCCGTCCATCCATCCATCCATCTATCTATCTATCTATCTCTATTTAATGTCTTACACCAAAGCCCAGGCTGGTGACAATCCTCCTGTTTCAGCTTCCCAAGTGCTGGGATTACAGGTGTGAACCACCCCATCCAGCTTCTCATTGGTTTTTAACAAGTTCGTGCTAGAACTTCAGTCAATGCTTATTAGATTGTAGGGTCACTTCAGAAAAAAAAGGGGACCAGGTGTGGTGGCACACACCTTTAATCCCAGGAACTAAATCCCAGAACTTGGGAGTCAGAGGCAGGTGGATCTCTGTGAATTCGAGGCCAGTCTGCTCTACGTGGTGAGTTCCAAGACAGCCGGGGCTACGCAGAGAGAGACCCTGTCTCATTAAAAGAAGAAAAAGAAAAAAATAAGAAAAGACAAAAAGAGAGAAAAGTGTGTGTAGAAGTGTGAGAGCTGCCGCGGGCATGATGGAGGGTTATATGTGCTTCACGGCCGTGGTGAACAGTAGGTGAAACTTCATGTTTACTCACCTGAACTGAAGCCAGAGGTTGGGGTAGGGGAGGAGATTACATTTGTTAGGAATCAGTAGACCTTCTTGATCTTATTTTATTTAAGATGTATTTTTATTTTATGTGCATGTGTGAATGTCTGCGTGTGTATGTGTATCATGGGCATGCCTGATGCCTCAGGGGCCAGAAGAGAGCCTTGGATGCCCTGGAAGTGGAGTTATAGGCAGTTGGAAGCTTCCAAGTCAGGGCTGGGAACGGAACCCTGGCCCTCTGCAAGAGCAAGTGCTCTTAACTGCTGAGCCATCTCTCCCACCTCCCACACCCACCCCCGATTCTATCTTATACATTGGAATCAGTCAACCGCACATAAGCACCGCCCAGGTTTGTTTCCCGGTCCTGGGGAATGCCTACATTCCCTTTGTTTATGGCAAGATCACTTGGATGCGAGGCATCCACACTCTACTCTCTCCCTCGTTTCCCACTTGCAGTGAGTCACTGAGTACTGTGCCTCAGTCTACGTGGAAGAAGCATTTGCCTATTTATATTTCAATACCACTGCCACAGCCCCTAGCGTTCAGGACATAGTCATCATAATCAGAGGGGTTTTGATAACTTCAAATGGAGTCATCTGAGTCCCTGTCGGTCAGCACCTCTTTATTCTTTGTACCTCGTTTGTTTGAACCACTTAACAAATCCCAAAGTCTGACATGTTAGAGCAAAGCTTTGTTGTTGTTGTTTTCTCCCCATGACAGAGTTTCTCTGGGTAGCCCTGGCTGTCCTGGAATTCACTCTGTAGCCCAGGCTGGCCTCAAACTCACAGAGATCTGACTGCCTCTGCCTCCTGGGCTTAAAGGTGTGCGCCACCACAAAAACCTAAGCTTAAGGCAGCCTGGGTTTTTGTTAACAATGGCTTTTGTTTTCCCACAGGAACCTCACTCTTCTAACACTCTCTTCTCTTTCCTTAACTGATACAAATACTTCATCTTCCAAGATTCAACTCAAGTGGTGCCTCCTTCACCAGCTTTTTCCTTGGTTGGTAGAACTGACCACACTCCTCCCTTGTGCCTGCTAATGATGCCTCCACAGAGCAAACATAATACTCCCTGCCTGTATAACTTCTGTCCCTAAGAGGAGGGATGGACTCCTTTAAATCCTGGAACTGTGGCTTTCTAATCCATTTTAGCCACAATGGTTAGCATAGTTCTGTGCATATAGAAGGTTTACTGAAGATAATGTTCAATGAATGAAAGTATTTGTTTGAACATGAAGCACACTGCTTTTTAGAGTATCCAAGAAATTACAATGTGAGATTTTTATTCATTTGCAGCATCATTGCAGTGGGTAACACACACACACACACACACACACACACACACACACACACACACACTTACATTCACTAAAAAGGCAATTATGAAGATTTAAAGTAACTCAAACACTAAGTTTTTAAATACCTCCTCTTCTGAAAATGTAAGGACTAGGGATGTGGCTCAGGGCAGAGTTCATGTTTTGCATGTGCAAGGTTAGGGATTAGTTTCCAGGAAAGTTGTGTGTGTGTGTGTGTGTGTGTGTGTGTGTGTGTGTGTGTGTGTGTGTGTGTGTGTCGGAGGATACATCTTTCCATGAGAGCAGTAGATAGGCATAGAGGGGAGGTATTTACAGTCCACCTGCCGCAGCTATTTTTACCTGGGATGCTATTCAGTGATAACACTGAACTGTTACCAAATAAGCAGCATCAGCATTATCTCTGTATTTACCTTCTCAACGGGAAAGTGGATGATTCACATTTAAACTGCAATGCACATTTTATTGTGCACAATAAAATGAAACAGTAGGAATTAAGTTAATCTGAACACTTAATTTAAAAGCAAGAATCAGAGCAATGGAAAAACCACAGGCAACTGAAGACAACACACCCAGCCTGTGACCACAGGACACGCTTTCCCCACGTGCCGGGAACACCAACTGCACGTGGACACACATCAAGTGATAAATGCTTGGTCGCAGCTGGCCTGTTTGGTGACCAGTGGACAAATACCATTCATTCCTAACCAAAAAACAGTCTGACTCAAAAATCAGATCACCTTCACTGTCCCGGACCACCCAAGAACCTCAGCAGGGGGAGCTGTTCTTGAGAAAGCCTTCTCCGGTCTCATAGTCCCATGCATCAACATCCACAGAGCACTTTGTGTCTTTCCCTTGGAGGGCTTATTTCAGCTTGCAATCACATACTTCATAATCGCTTTACTAACAGCTGCCACCCCCAAGCATCTGTAAGCACCAGGAAGGCAGGGGCCTTGTCTGGTCTTATTAACTGCTGTGTCTTATTTACCCAGGAATTGGTGTATAGCAAGGTTCTACACTGTAAGTGGATTCTGATGCTTTTTACATTTTATCCATCCACGTCTCTTGCTTATAAATCATGCAAAACCCCTCGTCAGTCTTGACCTTGCACCCAGCCCGTTCATCTTCATTCCCTAGTTACAACATCACCCTTACTTCCTTAGAAGGGGTCACGTCTAATGGCCTGAACTTTGTGGGGTCCAGATTAAGATGGCAGCACAAAGAAAAATGAAGATAACAAAGGACATGGCTGGAGGAGATTGAGCTTAAACGGCTTACACCGCTTCTAAAGACCCTCTTAATTCAGTGAAAAAGAAGACCAACTACTCTGTTTTAACCTACAAAAAACGGCTTGATCTGTTGATCCTGGAAAAGAGTTGATGGTGTAGATTATCAGCATGAAGACCACATGTGTGGTCCCTTAGGTAAACTACTCGGGAGCTATTCCTGGATGACAGGGCCTGGCCCAGGATTCCTCTTCCTTCAAAGATGCTGGCCTGCAGTTCACTCACTGTTTCCTGGTCTCCTCCATTTCCTCTTTCCTGTCTTCTCTGTCCCTGCTGCCTATCACAAAACCTTGCCTCATCCACAGGACCAGCTTAAAACTTACTTGGCGAGATTCTGTTTTCACCTCTGGACTACAGAGGGTTTGGGGAGATAGACTTCCTTAGCTTCCCTCAGCAGAGCGCAGCACCACTTTACTGTGCAAAGAACAGGTGGGTAGGAAACTTTTCAGGAGCTCTTCCTCAGCCTGCCTCCCTCCAGTCTCTGGAAGGCAAGTAAATCAGTCTTCCCCTGAGCTGGCTCCCTATGCCTGGGACCACTGCTGTGAAAGACCTGGAGAACCACACAGGCAGTCTGTTCCTGAGGAGGAATACTGGGCATGAGGGAGATAGGTTGACATCATGCTTTTCTGGTACGTTGCTTAGGCAGGAAGGAGGTAGATAATCAGAATGGAATAGAGCAAGTACAGGGAGGAAGCACCCGTGTTAGAAAGGAAATAAGTCTCTAGACCACTTGCATTGGTGTTATGTGCACATATTATCAATTAAAAACTACAAGGTCGCCGGGCGGTGGTGGCGCACGCCTTTAATCCCAGCACTCGGGAGGCAGAGCCAGGCGGATCTCTGTGAGTTCGAGGCCAGTCTGGGCTACCAAGTGAGTTCCAGGAGAGGCGCAAAGCTACACAGAGAAACCCTGTCTCGAAAAACCAAAAAAACAAACAAACAAAAAAAACAAAACAACAAAAAAAAAAAAAACTACAAGGTCAAAATAATAACTTCATCCATGTATCCATTTCTTATTTCCAAGGAATATGGAGGCTGATAACCAGACAACCTAATTTGGTGCCACTGAGGCAAGCACCTTGGTAGTGAAGTTGGACACACACACACACACACAGAGAGAGAGAGAGAGAGAGAGAGAGAGAGAGAGAGAGAGAGAGAGAGAGAGAGACTCACGCACACACTGCAGAAAGATGTCTCTCTTCTTGACACTGGGAAAAGTTCTTTCTGACCCTGTCACAGGGAGCAAAGAAACGGAGCCACAAGACACACCCCACAGCCTTGTTTTTTAGTGTGATCTCCTATTCATCCCCGCGGGCCATCCCGGAGCCCGGCATCCTGGGCTTCCAGGTCTGAGCTGCTACTGCTTGCCACTCCAAGACCTCGTTAAAATCCCCTCTGTTAGTCGGGTTCCTAGTGCCCTCCCTCCTGGTGTTCCCTGACCCTACCTGGAGTCCTTGTCCCGGCTCCTTCCACAGGGACACCTGCCGACCCTCTGTCTCCCCAGGACCTGCTGGATGCTGAGCTCAGGATGTCGCACCAGCACGGTTTGCGATGATAAGTTCAATGTGTTGGAGTGGCGTGCTGTACCACCCGGAGCTCCAGGCGCTCGCCTTAGGTCAAGCCACCGAGTCCCGCAGACCCTCTGACAGCCACCGTGACTCGGCCCGGGGCTCCGCCCCTTGTCTGCTCCCCGCCCGCGGATCTCCTGGGGTCCCCGGGTCCCAGGACCCTCGGAGCAGACTTAAAGTCAGAGCGCTAGTCCTGTCTGGAGCTGCCCAGGCTCCCTCGATCTCTCTGGTCAGCGGGAGTTGAGCTGTGCTCTCCGGAGCCAGGCGCTGCGGGCGCGACGTCCCAACCCCCCAAGCCACCCGTCGGGTCTGGTACCTGGGGGACCGAGATCCAGCGCTCAGGTTCTCTTGTCGGCAATGTGACTAGGATCTCCCAGGCCTCGGATCCTCAGATCCTGTTCCTGACGCCGGGAAGACCCCCTTCCCGCTCCTCTCTGGAGATGGAAAGGGGATTACAAGGCGACGTCCTGTGCCAGAGGACGGGGCACTTTTTTCCTAATAAAGATCCAGAAACTCACAGTATAATAAACACTCTTAGGCGGTCTGCTAGAATCCAGGGTTGCCTCAGCGGGCTGCGCGCGATCAGCTCCCTCCCTCCACTGTCCCAGAGGATCAGGTAAGCCTTGCCCCTGCACCGGGGTGTGCTCCTTGAAGGCAGGAGCCCAGCCTGGCTCATAGCTGTTCTCAGGCTCTGGCACAGGGCCTGCCACTTATCATGACACTCGGATGAAGTGGAAAATCAATTTATTTGATAGAAAACCAGCTTTTGCTTTTCAGCCCTAAAGCCTACTTACACTCCTTTGGGTAGGCAATTTGATAGCTAACACACACACACACACACACACACACACACACACACACACACACATCAAACAACTAACTAAACCAATAAATAAAGACAACAAAAAAGTTTGTTTGCAGTAATTTGTAGTAATTTCCAGAACAAAATGTTTAGATGCAAATGTACACAACAGGTTCATTTTTAATATAAAATAATAATATTTAAACAACAGCATTGGAGTTATGGTTCTGTGGGTAAAGTGCTTGCCTATGCAAGCATGAGGACCCACCCGAGTTCAATTCCCTAGAATCCAGGTGAAACCTCCTGGGGAGCATGTCTGCAATCTCAGGGCTTCTACAGCAAGATAGGAAACCTTAAGGCCAGCTAGCCTGCCTTACAAAGCCACCAACTCTGTTCTGGAACAAGGTGGAAGGCCAGCACACATGAATACACACACACACACACACACACACACACACACACACACACACCAAGATAAAAACACAATAAGCAAACACCACCAAACCTACCAATAGGAAATTGGTTAAATAAATTAAGACAGTATGGCTTAATGGGATACCCCACAACCATTATAACACAGACATGGAGACTTTGGTGCTTTCAAGTCTGCTTAGGCCATGCAGACAGTGTTTATTCACAAGGAAAAGAGTAGCAATAGAAAATAGCACGATAATGTGTTTACAAAATAACATCAGGCCACACAAGAACCAAAGCAGAAAATTATTCCTATGCTTAATGACTTCACATCCAAATACAGAATTCTACCCTGTCAACATGCAGATTAACGCCGATCTCAAGGAGTGTTTGGATTATTGAATGAGAAGTTAAAAAAAAATGCCTCAGCATACTCAACAAAAAGTTTCCATTCCTGCTCTTCCCAGGAACACAGACTCAAGTCCATCATGTTAAATGCATCCTCAAGGTGGCCTGGGTCTGCCCATTTGGCTTCCCACCCTTTATGTGTAGGGTAGGAAAAGAGGTCGAGCAAATATTCAAACCCCGAGGTGGTGGAGCATATATGCCTAATAAGAATAAACGTCCCTCTCTGCACATGGCACTGGCGGCATTGCAGAAGATGGGGTGGAAAGACTGTAAAAGGTTGCTGTTGGGGGCACTGCTGCAATATGATGTCTTCTGGACGCAAGGGCTCTTCCATTCAAGAATCCACAGTGGCTATGGCTGCCCACACAAGACCTCCACAAGGTCAGGCTAGTCAAAAATCAGCATAGACGGGGAGCTTTTGCCGTTGAAGGCTGCTGGGGTAGGGAGAGATGGGGAGTGTCTTCTTTGGACTCCAAACAGCCAGAAATATAAGGTTGCAACAGGAGATTTGGCTCAGTAGCAGCAATTATTAAACTATCTTAGCCGTCCGTTACTAAAGACACCACATGCTGTGAACAACACAAAACTTGGAAGTCTTTTCCCTGAGGACTGGCTCTCATGGTCTTAGAGGATACCATGCAAGCTGCCAAGGGAGGGAGACAAGTGACAGTCCTACCAAGCTGTAGAGCCTATGGACCATAATGAGTGTTCCAGCAAGCTGTCCACAATGGTGCAATCGTGACACTTCTACTGTGGGGGTAACCATCAACTGTCTACGTGAACTCAAGGCCCTCTCAATAGGGAGGGATTCATGCCTGGTACTGTAAACCTAACAAACTACTCATGGCTGGAGCGGTCATAGACTCGAGAGAAAAACCCATGACTGCCGTGTTTGTAAACCAATATGATTTCTAACTATATTCTAAATACTTGTCCTTGGATCCACAGTGTAGTTCTTGAAAAAAAAAAAACAAAGAAGCTTCATTTTGCAACAGATAGAGAATATTTCTTACAAGATGCAGAGAATAACGGACAGTGGGGTACCCTGATACACCTGCAACACAACCCCTACACCTCAGGCTCATGGAAAATCATGGAAGATGGGGAAGGAAGATTATGAGTCAGAGGCCCATGATGTTTGATATAAGATAGTGTTTCCTAGACATGAAAAGGAAAATGCACCCATGGAATCTCAACAATATGGAAGCTTGAACAAGACCAGCATAATTTAACCCAACAGCTGAACGACTCCGCAGTCTTAGGCTGACTAACCCTCTTCAGTGTTGTTCTGTTCTGAGTGCCGTCCTCAGGCGCAATTGCTAGTCCCATTTACAGGTGAGACTGGAGCATCTGGAGGTGACAGTACGGAGGATGGGACAGCTAGGAAGCTGTAGACCGGAGGCTTGTGTTTGGTCAGTGAACACCATGCAGAGCTTGGCCACCTGGACAGCATGCTCGACCGTGTGTCTTCTGCAAGGCTCGTTTTGAGCAGTGTGTGACCAGTGACACTGAGGACAGTGTCTTACCGGGTGAAGATGCTGTGCCCTTTCTAACTCTCTTGCTCCTGTGGACTAGGTCAAGGAAGAGGGATGATTTTCCTGCTATTTATCTTTGCACATCTCTAACCTTTGCTAATCTCTTGTTTTAACAACAGAACTTGCCTCTCCCTCCGAGCCTTTGCTAGGCAACGGCTCTTAAGGAGAATTTAATACCATCACTTTTTCTTCCATCTCCTATTATTCCGTATGTGGTTAGTTTCAGTTTTGAGCTAAATTCACTTAAGTAGGAGAAGAGGGTCATTGAAATGACCTGCAGAAATGGGAGCTAAGACCACTGGTATTTAAAACTTTGAAAACACTGCCCCCTATTTCACCAAGCACAGCATAAGGAAGCTATGTTGAAGAGCCTTCAGCCCACAATGAATGGGATTTTCTAACAATCAGAATTGCCAAGAAGATGCTGCCATGTGTGTGTGTGTGTGTGTGTGTGTGTGTGTGTGTGTACCACAAGAGTTAAAGCAGAGATTTCCAATGCTGCAGTTTTAATGCTACAGGGTGAGAATTCACAGGATAGGTAGAGGTTTAAAGTTCCTGCCAGCTAAGAGAATCCGAGTCTTGGCAGCAGAGCTATTCAGGGACCCGACTCTAGAAAGACAGACTTTAGAGTCACTTGTGTTAGCTCCCTTTGAGGACAAAGCCAGAAGGAAAGTTCCCAACAACCTGAGTGGCTGCGGCAACAGTTGCACAGTGTAACCATTGCACAGTAAACAGAGCCAGCAGCTGCTTTCCAAGGTAGCTGTTTGGAAAGAAACATTCGGCAGGATTCAGAAATCTTGGAGTGTTTGTATTCCAATCATTTAGCCCCCAATTACACCTTGTTCTGGTGCATCCCTATTCACAACCATCCCGGTAGGGACCCCAGGACTGGCATCTCCTTTTTACACATCCTCATCTCTGGTCCTCCCGCTATACTTTAGGAGGCCTCTGTTATTTCTAAGGCTGTTCCTCTAACCATGTGTGATTTATAAGATGAAAAGGTACATAGGATTCTCAGCACTTTCAGTAGGCAGAGGATGATTACTGTGCAGCTGTCTGGTGTGAAAACTCACGAGGTTCACTGTAACTGCCTTATGGCTCTGTACGCTCTGGTGCTTAGGATAGTCTGAACATCACCTGGGCTCTTATTGATGGTACAATTTGCTTTGCAACCACAATTCCTAGCTTGTAACTTCCTCCTCAAGGCAGGTCATAAAAATTCTAATATTTTCCTAGCTTTAGCTGACTATAAGGAAACTTTCTAATTTCTTTCATCTGAAGGTAGGTCTTAAGAATCTGGACAGGCCTTGTTGGTCCCCACCCAGTCTGTTAGCAATCCTGCTATGTCATGAGGTCTCCACAGGAAACTGAAAGGTCAGAGTTCATGGATTAAGGTTTCTGGAAGAGGCTGTGTACCTAGAAAGGACAAGGGAGCGAAGGGGTCCTTCTCTGCAGCTCACCCTTGCCTCTCCTGCAGCTCACCCTTGCCTCTCCTGCAGCTCACCCTTGCCTCTCCTGCAGCTCACCCTTGCCTCTCCTGCAGCTCACCCTTGCCTCTCCCACAGCTCACCCTTGCCTCTCCTGCAGTTCACCCTTGCCTCTCCCACAGTGCACCTGTGCACCTTTTTGTCTGAAATCTTTGTAATAGCCTTTGTTACACACTGGTAAACACAATTCTTTCCTTGAGTTCTGTGAGCTCCTCGGGCAAATCAATTGAATGAAAGGAGTGTTTTATGAGAACCCCGACTCACAGCAGTGCTTAACAGTGAAGGGGAAGCTGCCTAGGGTTTAGGACTGACATCTGTGTGAGGTTAGCCTTGGGGACTTGGTCCTCTACTGGTGGGGTCTGATGTTACCTCTTTGTAGCTAGAATCTGCCCTGATTAGTTTTTTGCCAGCCTAACACAAACCAAGACATACCTGGGAAGAGAGACTCCTAACTGAGGAACTGCCTCCATCAGATTGGCCTGTAGGCAGGTCTGTGGGGACATTGACTGAATTGCTCCAGCCCACTGTGGATGGTGTCATCTCAAGGCAGGTTAGCCTGGGCTATGTAAGAAAGGGGAAAGCCAGTAAGCAGCATTCCTCCATGGCCTTGCTTCAGTCCCTGCCT